ACTTAGCTGCTCCTCTGAAATAGTCTTCAACGCTGCAGTAGCTAATAGTGATAATACCATCACCACTGTTCCCACTACCCTCAGTACTTTAAACCACCTAGGATAAGTAGGAAGAAGGGAAATGTCATAATGTAGTGCTATCCCTAAGGCTATTACTAGCATTATTGCACCATGAGTGACATCTTTAAAAAGTAAAGCTTGCCAGGCAAGTAGAGGAGGAACTGTACTGTTAGCCAGGTTCAGCCAGTCTGGCTTGGCCGGGCTGTTTTCTGGGAGAGCAAACCCCCACCTCATTCCTCCTAGGAAAGAGACTGTTACAGCACCATACGTAATCTGAGCAAATGCCGCCTCTGGGTAGTAGGTCCCTTGGAGGGCCATTGACAGCGGCACGGAAACAAATGGAATTAGCCCTGCAAGGCTTAAGTAAAGGGCTGGCTTTGGAGAATCCTTTAATGATGTTATGCTTTGCTGCAATATACCCGAGTCTTTGGTCTCAGATTCTTTGGGGGTTTTCTTCTTGAAGAAGGGGAGAGAGGTGTGAAAAGCCTGGAGCTTGGTTGCATATACTGATGCTGGGTTGAGGCTTGGAGGTCTCAAGAGAAGACACACATCTCTCCGCAGACGGAGGCCGAGAGAAGAGCAAGTTGTCATCTTCTTTCCATACAGTAGTAATCTGGGACCAGTTAACTTCTGGAGCTGCAATTATAAAACCTGTTCTGAACACCTTACCACATAGGCTTATGGATCTACAGTTACCTTAACTACTCATGAAGTATTGTACCATTTTCCAAGTCAGGGTCACATCACAGCTGCCCTTCCTTTTAGTTTTCAGGTGTTTTTAACTTAACTAATTAAGCTGATTCAGCTTTCACAAGCTAGCTGGTGAAAAACACCTAGGCTCTTCACAGTGAGTAAGCAAACCTTATTCACTACAAAAGGGTTTGTGTATCCACCTATCCTTCCACTCACGCATACATTCTTTAGGCATTTTTAAGTTAAGCTACAGCAGTCCTTTTCAAAGTAGAATATGAAATGACTACAGAAGTAGGACAAGGTCACCCCAGAAACTAGCTACTATCCCTTCACTACTCTATTAAAAAGAGGAAAAAAGGCCCTTAAGACAATAAAATTTGATTTTATAAAAGAAATATCTTAGCTTTGGCTAAAAGCTGCTGTAGAAACTAGGAATTCTCTCAGAAAAGCTGAGTGATAAACATGTGGCTACTCCAGCTTGTAAGTCACCTTTTTTATGCTCTAGTCATACTTTTTGCTATTTTACTTTTAAATACAGACAGCAAAGAAGGCTTCAGAAACTTACTTTGAAAGGTTTGTGGAAGCAGCATCGTTGTATGACAGGAAACATATTTGCTTTATCAAGGCCCTAAAACAGAAAAATTCAGAAGGTCTGAGTTTGTCTCATGTGCAAAGTTAAGTCACAGCCTGGACTTGTTTATCTGATGCAAGACTCTTATAGATGTATATTTAAAGACAAGGTTTTTTACATACTTAATCCTCATTTACCCGCTACAGGATACTTTGTTTGAGGTAGCTCTATGCACTGAAGTTCTAAAGTTGTAATAACTGTTACAAGAACGATTTTTAGTTGAAGAACGGAGTATCAGGCAACAGGCGATGGTTTCCCATTTAGGGATCATCTCCTTTTCATGGCCTAAATAGCTGCACGCAGCTGATAAACGACCGACTCCTTACGTGCGGAAAAACCGCTCCTTAACCACCGAGGAGCAGAAACTTCATCACTGCCAAGCTGCCGGTAAGCTGCCAGCAGGGGGGTCAAAACCAACCGGGAAGGGCAAGCAGCTCGCCGGAGGATTCGACTCCGCAGTTCACAGTCCTGCTGCTCCAGGGACGGGGGGGAAGCCCCGAAAGCTCCAGCCCGGCGGGCAAGGGGAGAGGAGAAGCAACATGGCGCCGGGGGAGACGCGGGTCCCAGCAGGCCGAGAAACTCACCCCGCGCTCGCA